TATATATAAACACATAAGTACAAGCTTTGCTTACCTCGGAGCTTATGAAGTGGATTTCGTTAATTAATGTGCAGTGCGCCTTAGTAAGTTTTACTCAGTCAAAATTACAGTTTGATGTTGACTATAGGAGCTTAAGAATAATAACTACAAATATATATATAGATTTTCACCTACAACGAATATTATTTTCATAAATTCACAAATATATTCAGACTGTATTTGTTTGTGTAGAATTTGCATACCTTAAAAATGAATATTCGAGCTGAATCTATGTGCTTAAATTGCATTTAAACAAATTTTAAATGAAATTCTTACACAATGTTTCTTAAAAATGTGTTCATATAGTTAGAGCAATTATAATTCGAAGATTTGCAAATTAGTTGCTCTAATCAAATATAGAAGGGAAGCAACAATGAGACCTCTATTAAAATTTAAAAACTTTTGTTTTTGTGGTATTTAGGCTACATTTCAAAAACGAAAACAAATTATGTTTTTTTTTTTTTTCTATAAGCAAATAGAAGAAAATAATAATCAGGAATGTACACTTAAAGATTAAAGTCCCCAGCTATAGTGGCTGTTGATTCAGTACATCATCCTAACCAAGAGTATATTAACATTATTGGGTCTCACCTGCCTCCATCTGTTCGTTACATACGCTTCCACGAAACCATTCCACCCTGCATATCCATTTTCAATGGGTGCAACTTAGAATCAGTTGCAATCAGATGTCAAATAATTTTATTTATATATAATATATATTTATATATTTTCCCATGGACAACATGAATAAAGTTCTCACTCTGTATCTCACGCTTCTCTTTCCCCTTTCATATTTATCTCTAATATGTTCACTATTAAAGAGCTGCCAGGCAATGTTTTGCTTGGGAGCTAAGCTCTTCAAACTACGTATGTAGCTCTGGCTCTGTCATCGTTTTCATAGTCTTCATCAAGTTTGCTTCTAGTGAAATTAATTTGCGTTCCTAAGCTGGAAATCATATTAAATAGTACTAAATATGTGCATAAGTAATAATAATTCATATGTGAATAACGTACTGTATGATGGCATTCTTTTGTTTCTGTTTGCTTTTGTGCAGGATTTCAGTTGAGTTTTCTCTACTTCTGCTTCTTCTTCTTCTTCATTTTTTTTTTTCTGTTATCTCTGATGAACATGAACTCATGAGCTTTTCTTGTCTGTTGCATCTGTGGGCGTCGCTTGTCATTTGCTAATGTTGCCAGCTACGCTCCCTTAACATTCCAACATCATCATGATCATGATGATGAGCATTGTCGTCTTCATCTTGAGTTCGAGGCAAAGATACTGTGGGCGTCTGCAGGAGTGGCACTTTTTCATACTGTTGTGTCCATGTGATCTACTTGGCAATGGCAAGAGATGCATCTACTTCAGCAACGACAGCAACAACAACAACAACAACAACAACAGCATCAGCTTTAACTAAGCTAGTTGCCTATCCGATGTGGGCGTTCCTTTGGAATTTTGTTGCTGCCCGAGTCGCACCTCTCTTTGTTCCTATTGCATTCGCAGCTGCAGTGGAGGCTGCCGTTGGCATTGCCATTGCCATTGCCATTGCCAGGTGCCCAGGCAATTCAGTTTGCTGTCGCTTTATTTTTATTTAATTAACTTCATTGCAATGCCAGGAACTGAAAGGCTGGCATCCTGGCAGGCAACCTGCCTGAATCTTTGTCACTCTCTGGGCTGGCTCTGCCCACAGGCAAAGGCTACATTCAAGCTCTGCCAGTTGTTGGCTGTCGCCGTCGCCGTCGCCGTCGCAGTCGCAGTCATCGTCGTCGTTTCAGCACCTTGACAATGACTTATTGTCGCTGCTCGACTAAGAGACACAAGCAGAGCCTGCACCGGATGGGACAGTATGGGACGGCCGGGCCAAACGAGTCAGCATCAGCTCATCTTGGTTCATTGGCAATTCTTTTCCAAAGTGGCCTCTCTTGTTGGCCAACAGACGTGGGCTGTTGCTGCTGCTGCTCTCCCTCTCCCTCTCCCTCTCCCTCCCTCTCTCACTCTATCACCCATATGAGGCAAAGTCGCATGTAAATCAATTTATTTCGTTCAAACTGAAGTTTGAAAACTGAAGTTGAACTTGTTGTTGATGTTGATGTTGCAGCTGATGTCGATGCCTCTGTCGATGCCGCTGCCGATGCTGAAAGTCAAGCGAAGGTCACTTGAGACAACGGTGCTGAATTTTTGGCAATTTAGAGTCGCAGCCTCAGCTTCCTGTGGGCAATGCGAATGCACATCCTGTCTGGTATTCATGACGCTGCAAGCATTTAAGTGTATCCCAGGGAGCAGTAATTATAATAACCACTCAACCAGGCAAAACACAGAACACAAAACCCAAACGCAAAACCCAATACGAAAACCCTATAACAAACTCACTTTTCAGTCTCTGTCTGGGAGTAGCTTCTATTTCGCAGAGCGCTCAATGGAAACCGCAAAGTCATCTCCGGTTTATTTACTGGCTAGCGAAAATAAAGCAAAAGCGAAGATGAGACCAGCCAGCAGCAAAGCGAAGCGTTCTGATATAATAAGAACAAGAAGCAAAAAAAAGAAAACGAACAAGCAGAGGAGAAGGTGAAGCAGTAGGAGTAGGGAGAAAAAAAAAGACCAACTGAAGCCGCATGAATTTCCAATTGTGAGCCTGCCAGGCGAGGCCCAGAATTGAGCTGAAGGTACATAAAACAAAGGCGAAGCCAAAGTGACTTTTGAACGAGCTCTCCGCAGCGATATATCGAATTTAATTTCCTGTCAAAATCGAAGAAGGTATTCCAGTTCTGGTCGTTGTTGTTGTTGTTGTTGTTTCTGTTGGGCACTCGAGCGTGAAGAATAAGCTCAAGTTAATTTTGTGGCTTAAAGTGCTTTGGTTGGCGGGCGTCCAGTCTATGGAATTTCAAACTGAGACCAAAGGCAATGCTCGAAATTATGAATGAAATGTGCGCGCAATTAGCGTGCCAGCCTGTGTGATCCGGACTCCTGCCTGTGCCGCTCTGCTAATGCATCTGCCATTCGCAGCAACTGTCGCCACGGCACGTGATCAAAAGTCGGGCAAAAAGAAAACAACAAATGTTAAAGGAACTTGTATTGGCGTTTATGTGACTCTTGGCAGCAGTTGAGCTCCAGTTGGTGTTGCCCTTGCCTTTGGCTTCTAGTTCATGTCGAGGCCTAATGCGTCGAGCAGCCTGACAGGCGTTTCGAGTCGAGTCCTCTGACCAGAACATGTGGCGTCCTCAAATATAATATATATATATACATATATTTAAATATACAATCTATATATATTTGCGACCAACTGACGCACAACGACCTTATTAAGCCAGCTTGACTCATATGCTCATATTTGTATTTTTTCTGTTCTCATTTTTTATTTTTTCCTTTTTTTCTCTCTTTTTTTTACTGTTTTTGTTGCATTCTATTTTAAAGGCATCGATTGGGCGCACAGCACCCGGCCTTGTCGAAATCCTTTGGCTGGCTATTTTTATAGTCCATAATTTTGTTGAAAAATCGCTGTAGAAAACTGCCGAAGGCTAACAAATGTGAGGGATATTTTCTTACACTTATTGGACTTTGACAAACTGTACAGAAAAATGCATAAAAATAAATGGAAAACGATTTCATTTTGACGCAACATGTGTAATTAATAGACTTCTGGCGCTGCCAACATCCGATGGCCTGCCATGCCCCGCCCCGCTCCTAACTCTGGCTGACTAAGGCGTATATGGATGGAATCAGAATCTATACTCTAATACTCGTAAACGCGTATAATGTTTGCCGGTCTCACCACGCGGCGTATGATGAATGCGAGCTCGTAAAGCAGCAGCTAGGTCTCGGATACTAAGGTGTCTATTGTATTATTTAACGGGTTTCATGCGTCCAATCGCCATAGTCACTTTTGAAAATCTCGTTCTTTTATGGACTTTTAAATAAGAAGGCTCTAGTAGAGACTGCTCGACTAAGAGATACCCTGAACCCTCCAGGCTGATATTCTACTCATTCTGCACTTATTTTGTGCACACATGCATACACACGCATTGACACGCTCGTATATTACGCGGTCTGCTGACTGCGCAGCTAGTAGAGACAGCGCTTGGGCAGCGCTGCAATTTGGGCAATATTATGAGAATTTATTAGTTGAATAATTTCTCTTGTAGTAATACTATCTTAATGAAACTTTCAGAGCGTGATCATATGGCTAAAGTGTGTATACATTCCAATGCACAAGTCTCTAGTTCTTGAAATGCGTTTTTTTTTAATTAATTAATTAGTGGCGAAGGGGCCGTGTTATTTAAAATCTATAAATTACAAAATCTTTCTATCCATTAACTTTATATACAACGCTAATTTGAAGTCACCTGGTCTAAAAGTGTTCAAATTAGGCTGAAAAAACAAAGGCAATTTTTTCGTTTATTATCGATAAAAAGTTATCGGACGAGTTATCGAAAAAAAGTGATCGGATGAGTTAGCGAAAAAAAAATAGTATAAGCTTGTACTGCCTATGGTATACACGAGTATACATGCCAAATTTCAGCTCTCTATCTGTTAAATCTTCTGAAATCGGCTATATCGACTCAGATCGTCGTGCTGATCAAGAATATATATACTTATATATTGCTTATATATATACCATATGGGATCTGCGATGATTCCTTCTGCCTGTTACATACTTTTCACGAAACCATTTTACCCTGATTTTCCATTTTAAATGGGTTCAGGGTATACATATATAAAAAATATTGTAATAATAAATAAATTTAAAAAATACTATACATTAAAAAGGGATTTTCAATAATAAAAAAAAAGGTTAATCAAATTATACATTTAATAAAAATTAATTTACAAAATTTTGTAGCTCGAAATATCTCTACACTCGCAGATCGCGTTTATTTCAATAAAATCCCATTTAAATGGGACCTTGAGTCTAGATACTTTGCTTTTAGAGTCATCGAAATTTGTTACAATTTGTTATGTTTGAAAACCGTTTACTATGTGACCTAAGTCAGTTGGCCTCTTCTTTTTTTATTTTCTTTTTTTTTAATTTGTTGATTTTTTTCAAAATTTTTGTATCTCTGTGTTTCCACAAATCAATTATCATGGTCTGTTTAGCCATTTTAACAATTAATATCGGTCTATTATACCTCTTTCTATTGATGAACGGAGGTAAGCCCTAACAAATCCAAGTGCACTTGTATAAATATGTCGAGATTGCTCGATTAGGAGAGAATGTGAGCCCTGTTGAACGGTATGAAAACATGCTCTATGGATTATATCTATATATACCCTATATAAGTCATTGTGCCATTGAGCTTTGAATGTTATTTTGATTGGAGTATCAGTTGATTGCCAGGCTTAAAGGATCTCCTAATCGAGTAGTCTTAACTGGAGCTGTCTTCGACTTACCGTGGATTATTCTTTAAAGTCGAAGCTTATCGAGGAAAGGTCACCATTGAGGAATATCCATATTTGGGCTCACTACGTTACCGCAAAAAGGAGTCTGAATTGGCTGGCAGTGGATACATATGTGCGGCGACTCTTATTCACAATCGTGTGCTTATCACAACTGCCGAATGTATAAAAGGGTATGTGTGTGTATCTGGAAGAAACTGTTTTCTGATATTCGGAATGATACTGTGCAGAAAAAAAGCAGAGGATATACTGGGTGCAGTAGGGTCTACGTACCTGCAAGGTATAACTACAACATCCCTAGTACTGGGAATCGCTGCTTTCAGATGTCATGGCTTGTATAAACGTGGCGTATCGAGCTACAATATTGGACTGGCCTTCACTGATGAAGATACACTGCCCATTAAAGGAAAACTTGGATATGTACCGATAGCCATGACGAAAATAAGACCATTCACAAAATGTGTTGGAATCGGCTGGGCTGCAGATACTGATGTAAGCAAACAAATAATTATATTCACTATAATATGGAACGTGTAAATTGATTTAAACTATTTGATTTTTGTTTTTTCAACTTTAGGTATTGAGCACACATCCTATTGCACTACCAAACTATAGTGTCTCCCCAAAAACTTGTTATAGACGGACACGTACAATTGGTATGTTTTGCACTTTCAAAAGATATTACAGACATTCTGAACCGGACCATAGCGACTCTGGTATCCCGATAATGTGCAACGGTAGACTTACGGGACTATTCATCTTACATAGAGCCTCACGATTGCATGTGTTTACATCTGTGTATGCATTTAGAAAATGGATAAACGGAGCCATTTACCTCCACTTCAAAAAAGATCTGCCAGTGACGGAATCGATGGCATCGATGGATGGCTCGATTTGCTTCCAGTGGCTACTTGTTTTGGCCATTAGCATTTATTTGGTGGGCTGACCCTAAAAACATTAATGTGTAAATTGCTATATATGATATTAATTTTATTTCTACATTAAAAATTAATGTTCTTGCAGTTGTCTGTGGTGTTCATAGAATGTGAACAACATTTAATTATTTAAATATTAAATTTGAAATATATTCAAGTAAAATCTAAGGAGATGGTAAAAAGTGTAAAAAAAACAAGTAAGAAAGCTCTAGTCGAGAGTGCCCGAATACGAGATCCCCTGAACCCTTCGAACAATAGTTGTTTCAATCACACACGCGCACACACACACACACGCATACACACACAGGCATATACACACACATCATACACACACACACACACACACACACGCATACACACAGAGATACGCACGCACGCATAAACACGCATTGGCTGCAGTGGTGGCTTACTAAGGGAACTTAATTGTTCAATAACATTTCTTGTGGATGTAGTTCCTTCATGAAACTTTCAGATTATGATTATATCATGGATATGTATGTATTTGCCAAAGCACAAGTCTCTAGTATTTGAAATACGCCTTTTAGAAATGTGAGGATGAGGGGGTGAATTAGGGGTGGCGGGTAAATTTTGACAAAAACCTAAATTGTATAAAATGCATATGAGTATACATAAAAAATTTGGAGACTCCAGCTTTAAAGATGTAGGAGATATAAAATTTTTTACTGGTTTTCGATAACGTTTTTAATCGATAACAAAATAGCGGGGCAATTCATCGATATTTAAAGCAAAGCTCGATATGCACGTGCTATACACGGACCTAGGAAAAAAGTTTCAAGTCTCTAGCTCTTATATCTTCTGAGATCCATGCGTTCAAACATACGGACAGACGGACAGACGGACGGACAGGGCTAAATCAACTCAGCTCGTAGCCCTGATCAAGAATATAAATACTTTATGGGGTCTACCACGCCTCCTTCTGCCTGTTACATACATTTAACAAAACCATTATACCCTGATTTCCCATTGAAAATGAGTTCAGGGTATAAAAAGAAAATCGAGAAGCACATCAAAAAGTGTCAAAATTAAAACATTTTCAATCAATAATATATTAAATAAAACTATAATTTATATGTGAAGAAGTACAGTAGATATAGGTAAATATCAGTAAATTTATTATTTTTTTTATACTATAGTTGATTCACTCCACTGTGCAGTCGTCTTCTAGTAATTGAAATATCTCACTAATTTGCATATGCTAAAATGCTTAGGTGAGGCATGACAAAATTTTTCTCTATTATATTGCAATAGATTTCCAATTGGAAGGGTATTTCGCTTAGCACATGAAGCTCTGCTTTATCGACTTCGCATGTCCGGCAGCTAGCATGACAGCTACTTCGCAGCTGCTTTTGGCCGTGGTGAGCGTATGATGCGCCGACCCGCTTAGGGGACCAACAGCAGCTAGTCAAACAGACAGTAGAGTAGATGAGTGTGTGTGTGTGTGTGTGTGTGTGTATGCGTGCTTTTGGGTCCACTAGTAGAGTGTTTGTTATCTGTCGCTTCTGTTGTTGCTGCCGCTGCTGTTGTTGCCGTAGTTGTTGCTTTTGTTGTTGGGTGGCAAGGACATGTTTGTAGGCTGCAGACTGCTTGGCTGGCAGCTGCGTACACGCAAATAGAAAAGATACTCAAGGCACTCATTTGAACGAGACGAGGCGCACACACACCACGAGAAACTGTTACGTGATGAGTGCGCGTCATGCGGGCCAGAGACCAAGAGAGCCTGAGCGAGAGTGAGAGACAGAGACAGAGAGAAAGAGAAAGAGGTAGAACCACAGCAACCGCAGCGTGGAATAGCATGCCATGGCAACTGTAAACGGTTGTGCTAGCCAGCCAGCCAACTATTAGTGGAGCTCGAGCTCTGAGTTGGAGTTGGCCCACAAACAAAACAGCCATCAGTGGGCGTTTAAGCCAAGTCGCCTGATGTCCACAATGTGATTTAAATAGAATCAAATTAGTGTGCCATTTGCATGCGCATTTAGCCAGCCGGCTAGCTAGCTGGTAGCGCCCCGCTCATTTAGCTGGGGCTCACTGTACGCATCGGAGATTGTTTGCTGTGCGGCTTAAATCGCTTACCGAAAACATAAATCCAAATACGAACGACGACGCCGGTCGTCGACGTTTCATTTGCCTTTGTCAACGGTTTTTTTTCTTCTACTTTTTTTTTGCCATCTAGTCAGGTGCACAAACACAAACAGACAGACACGAGAGACACAGCTGAGTTTGAATCTGAGCTGCAGACTAAAGCCCAGAGCAAGGGAGCAAGCACCATGTAGCGGCATTGACATTTTGAGCTTAAAAATCCAATTAGTCTTTGATTTGCATACAAACATACAAACAGAGACAGAGAGCGTTGCAGTTACTGAGCCAGCAAGAGAGAGCGAGAGAGAGAGAGAGAGAGAGAGAGAGCGTGTGACAACGTTGACAAACAGACAAAAACTCGCCGCATTTCTTGCTAAATATTTTAAGACCCACATTCGGATTTGGAGTCGAACTCAGATTCGGCCAGGTTGCAAACATCTAAAGCAGCCCAGAAAAGTCAGAAGAGTAGCAAGTGGACGTGGATTGTGCGGGAAAAGGTGGATGGAGGGGGGTTCTGAGCGTGAGGGCGTTGCGGCATCTTCGAACCCGCACCACAATAGACAATTGGATTTTTGCGGTTTCTAATCCAATTTATTTCGTCTTAAATACGAAAACCTGCTCGTTCGTTCGCCCACTCGCTCGCTCTTCTTGCTCTCTCGCTCGCTCGTTCGCTGAGCGTCCTTTGGCTCAGTTCATTGTTGCTATTGTTGTTTGCTACAAAGTATCCTGTTTTCGGGTGCGGTTCAATGTAATTTAATGGCTGGCAACGGTCAGGCCACACACACACACACACACGCACAGAAGCATTATACATTTACAGCAAGTCGCAAAGTTAAGCTCTCAAACACACACGCACATACACACACACACGCACACACTAGATTGAATCACCTGCTCACTCAAATCGCCGACGACAGCTCTCAGCAAACTAATTTAAATATTTCAGCAATTAAAGAGTCCAGGCAATTAAAATAAACCAAACACCCAAAGCGCCACCGCAACAACTCAAACTATACAACAAAAACCAGTAAAAAGGAACAGGAAATGGTTTTTGCGGTTAGCTGCTTAAGAAGTCGAACTACAGCTACACTATCGAACAACAACAACAACAACAGTAGCACAGGAAAAGGTATTTGGAATTAAATACATTTCACTAATTGAGTGCTCAGCTACTTAGACTATGAATAAGAGACTTAACTTAAGTGAGTAAAACAGAGATAGGCGTGAGTGAATAAATTTAAGGTGAAAGAATATTCATATCAAATTTGAGTTAATCTTTATAAAATTTCAATTAAATTTTAATGTATATTATTATTTATAAATATTCAAGTCTTAATAATTAAATGAACCGTAAGCAGTGAAACGCAATGAATAAAATTATTTGTTGCATCGGAAAATATATTGAAAACAAATTCTGTTGCAGCATTATAATTGAGGAGCTCATAAAAAAATAGGTATACATTTTTCTATAGTAGTATTTTTGCTTTTTAATAAGATATTGTTAAAAATATAATATTCCATAATTTTAATATTCTAATATTCCATAATTTTAGTTAAATAAAATTTATTTTTCAAGCTGCACGGACATAAAAATTCTACGCTTCAGCTACATAACCTTGAATATGATTTATTAAAATGTTTTTTTTTTTTTTTTTTTTTTACAAAGTCAAAAAGCGAATACAACAATTTGGTTAGCTTTAATTGTTCAAAGTAGCTATAAATAATAAAAAATTACGTAAAAATATAATGTCATACTGAAGCAATATATGTAAACTCCCAAAGATATTTAGCATAATTTAATGATAAATCTTTGATCAAATGAACTCCTGCCATGTACAGATTGCATAATAACATGTAAGTTAACATCATTCTTTGATACCTAAACAACAAGTCGAAATTATGTAATTAATGTATAAAAGTCAAAGCAAAAGTGTTGCCTATCGATGAGTAGACTCATCTATAAATAACTGTTACATCGATTACACAAAAAAAAGGTAGTTAGGCTTATTAGCTCCATTCCCAAATGTAATTAGATTGATATAGATCTACAGACAAGTGCTTAAATAAAGTTTGCTATGGATCGACTGCTAAACTCATCATAAATTGATAGCCTTATCGATAGTCATATTTATCGATAGTCGACTGCCATAGAGTTAGCTCCTTGTTGAGCTAATTATCTTTGGGCCCCATAAACATTGTCACACATTCGTTGTAGCCCTTTATCGCCAGGGTATAACAATCAACACCGTGTGACTAACAACCTGTATGCCGTTTCCTCTATGCCCGGCACACTCACACACACACACAATGAGCGATGGCCAATGGCATGGACATCGCGCGTGCGTGTGTGTGTGTGTGTGTGTTTGCTGTTTGTTGTGGACAACGTTCAATCAATGTCAACGTGGTTGTCAGCCTGCTGCCTGATCCTGTTGCGGGTCTCTCCACTCCTGCTCACTGTCGTTGTTGATGTGGCTGCTTTGCTTTGCCTTGGCCGAAAACATCTGCACATTTACCTACCATAATTTTGAGTTCAGTTAGGCAACAGTTATTCCATCAGCATCTGCGGTCTAAGTTATTTTCCTTTATCGTCGTCTTCCTTCATTTTTGGCAAATTTGGCACAATGCGGAGCAATTGGCGTTCACTCAGCGATTGCAGGACCAGGACTCTCGCCTGGCCTCCGCACGCCCCTATCCCGACTGTCAATATCACACGCAGCGCTGGACACATGACAGACACATTGACACATGACGTACAAAGGCAAAGGTAAAGTGAGGGAGTGAGAGAGCTAGAAGGAGAGAGAGAGAGAGGCAGAGAGAGTGTGTGTGTGAGTGAAAGAGAGTGAGGAAGCTTTAACAACTTATGCTGTCTAACTATTTCTCTCTCTCTCTCTCTCTCACACACACACTCTCGTGTGTCTCTGTCGATGTATTAAGTGGAAACACCTTGTAAAATGGCTGACAGGTGTTAGAAGACTTTGCAAGATTTATGC